TTGAGGCCTGCAATGCTTTATTGTGCCGATTGTTGGCCATTAAAAGAGAAGCATAATACTAAGTTAAGTGTGGCAGAGATGAGGATGCTCAGGTGGATGAGTGGCTTTACCCTTAGAGATAGGATACGGAATGAGCATATACGTGAAAAGGTTGGATAGCTCCAGTAGAAGATAAGATTAGAGAGAGTCGCCTTAGATGGTTTGGTCACATAAAAAGACGGCCTTCCGATGACCCGATTAGGAGAGTAGAGGTATTAGATTTGACTTGTGTTAAGAAAGGTAGGGGTAGACCTAAAAAGACTTGGTTAGAAAATATTAGGAATGACCTTTCTTTATTAGATTTAAACGAGAATTTGACTTTTAATAGGACACAATGGAGAAAAAGGATTCATGTAGCCGACCCCACATAGTGGGATAAAGGCTGGATGTTGTTGTTGTTGTTGTTTGAAAATTTTATATACCTTAATAAAATACATTGCTAGGTGAACTATCATTATTTGCACTTTTCATCAGACAAGTAGCATCTCAATTGAAAATACATTGATAGACAAATCTATAGCATACCAATTCTTTCATTTCAATAAAGCTTAATAGAGTTTCGTTAAAATGCACAACTAAATATCCCAAAATTTTAAAATATCAAACCAAAATCTCAACACTCAATAGACTTTGCAAAAACTATAACATTATTGTTTGCATTCAAAAGATGTCTTCTTTGTATATGTGATAGGCCGGTTCACACTGAATCGGCCCAACCGGCCCTTGAGTATAGGAGTGGTTCGTTCCGCCCAAAGGGGTGGGCCCTACTTTTCCAAGCTATTTCAAATTGAAAAGGATGGGCGGCTAGGGCTTGGGAGGGAAATTAGATTAGGAAAACTTTTGTATTAAAGAGGATGAGATGATTAGGGAGTAGGAGGTTTTGATTGATTGGAATTAAGGTTTCTTGGCGACTTGGGCTCTAGACTCTCTTGTCTAGATATTTGGGAGAGACAATCCTCCTCTCAAATTGAGGATCCCTTGTATCTTTGCTTTGTTCTTATTTTGCTTTGCTTTCTATAAGATTTTCTATCGTTTGATTATTCTTCCACCATAATTTCTACGTTTTCTTATTGTTTTTACCGATTATTGTTAGGTTTGCTTGCGAACTCAAGAAGATCCGATAGGATTACTTGTGAACTCAAGTACTATTTCTATACACAAATAAAAGTTTGAGCAGTTATAAATGATATCAGAGCAACACACCTACCGGAAGATGAGAATTAAGTGTCATACAAGATAAAGTGTTATGCCATAGAAGCCACCTCTTGAATCTTGTATGGGACAAAGTGTTATGTGGCGCGAGTCACCACTTGAACTTGTCGGGGCCAACTCTATAATCTCGTGGATGATTTTCAGATAAAGATGCTGACAAGAACGTTAATTACTTAAGTGGGAGAAATTGTGAAACTCCTTAAGTAAAAAGAAGTTAAATTCTTTGACATCGATGTGTCTTTTGGTGTAATTGTTGGAATTTCATTTAAAAAATTCCGCAGTTAAGCGTGCTTATCCCAGAGAAATTCTAGCATGGGTGACCTTTTGGGATGTTACAACAACATGACAAAACCGTGAAACCCTTAGGCCAAAGGCTATTACACGTTGCTCCATGATTTTTTCCAATTTCAGATTTTTCCATGTTAAATCCTAGTATTCATTTACATTTCTCTTTCTTGTTTTTTTCGTTGCATGTTAAATCCTAGTATTCAACAATAGAGAGGCAGATGTTGGGCTCAGTTATGTGCATTGGGCAATGGTTTGACCAAGAATTTAAGCTTTTTAAACTAGGTACATGAACTCTTGTTCCAAACTCTCCAAACCTTAACGTTCTTGGCTGCTGTTGGATTTTTAAAATAAAGCTCAACTATGATGGTTCTGTTGCCCAATATAAAGCATGTCTTATTGCTGAAAGCTAAAGCGTTAACAAAGGCTGGACTATACAAAAACCATTCGTTTTCTCTTACTTGTGGCATTCATCTTCAGTCGCTGATTACACAATTAGACGTCTAAAATGTTTTTTACATGGTCCTCTCGACGAGACTATTTATATAGATCAAAGGCCAACACATGTTTGTCTTCTTCAAAAAAGCAATTTATGATATAAAACTAGCTCCTCGCCAATTGTACGGCTTTAAAAATTGCCTGTTACAGCGTTCTACATGATTTTCATCCATCATTTTCCTATAATGGATTAGCCCGAGTGACATTTTATGCGCCAATTGCACGAGTTTAAATTTGATATGTTCTTAACTTGAGCAGAAAGTCAGAAATATCACTATTAGAACAAGATAATTTATCTGCTTTTTAACTATATTTATAAGCTTCATTTGGGATGACTTTTGTATTGCTTAAAGTAGCTTTTTAGTATAAAAATTTTAATTTTTTACTAAAAAACTGCTTTAAAAAACAATAAAAAAGCCGTCCTAAACGAAACCTTAATTGTGATTATGATTGACGTAAAGCAAAGCATATTTTATTGGTTCTGTTGTTTTGGGTGCATCATACAATAATCTCCTTTTTTATTTCGACCCTCTGGTTAGCACTTAAAAGTGCATTTTGCATTCATGATTGGCTATAACATATTAAACTTGCAGGCTTTGCCTGATGATGTCTGGGATTGTGCACCGTTTTTAATAAAGATGGAATTCAGCTCCAATTCTATTGAAGAATTGCCGAATAAAATTGGTATTTTGAAGTCCTTGAATGTATGTTTCTTATAATACATTATTTTATGTTGTTTTTTTAATCTGGTTGAAACATTCCCTTTGAAAATATGATTAGCTTTGGAGCTTTAGCCTTACTAAATGTGAAATATGGAGCCTTTTGTGCCTTAATTGTGTAGAAGCTGTACCTGAATGATAACCATTTATGCGATGAGAAGTTTAGCTGGGATGGCCTTTCACAGTTGAAGTCTTTAACAGTACTATCTTTAAACACAAACAGGTAAGTATTTTTTTCTGATATTTTAATGTCTTTCAAGGCTTTAAAAGTTTGCCATGTTGATTTTATGTTGACCTTTAGACTGGAACAAAGGACATTTTATAGGTTAGTTGCAAGTAACTGATTAAAACTGTTATGAATTACAACTAAGTTTGAAACTCTTTTGACTTGTCCTTATAATATATTTTTTAATAAGTTCAGCTTGTGCAGTTGGGTTCTAGTTTTTAGCATGCGTCGTTAATTTCGCTACTAAGTTCACTTCAATTTTTTCTCCTAGTTGTTTGCTTGCTACCTTGGTTAATTTGTGGGGCAAACGGAAAGGAACGCCTTGAAAAGATATGGGGTTACAGAGAAATGACTTTTATTGAGGTTGGGGTTGAACTTTTTTTTTGGGGGTACATTTAGGGAATTCACACACATATTATACACGCAAGATTCAAATTCAAGATTTCTTAATTAGTAGCCAAAGCTCTCAACTAGGGGTGTCAATGAGTCAAGTCGAGTCAAGTTTTGGCGCAATTGAGCTGAACTCGTCATGTTGAAAGTGAGCTCGACCTCGAACTCGAGCTCGTGCTCGAGCTGGCTCCATTGTTGTGGGCTCCGAAAATTCGGCCCCGGTCTCCCCGCCGCGCTTTTCTTTTTATTCGACGAGGGAGTTTTAACGGAATAAGTTCCGGGGTAAATTTTGGAAGGCAGATGGGTTTGTAGATAAGACTACCCAGAGATTTCGCCCTCATTTGGCGAGGACTTTATGATATGAGTTCTGGTTTCCTATAGGCGCAAGCCCCTATAGTTAATTACCCCTCCCAATCACGAGAGAGAACTTTTGATTAAGGCTAGTCATCAATCAGATACGTATAGAAATATGTGCATCTAGCATGTAGTAGCAGCATAGGGTATTGAGATTGGGAATTTGGAAAAGTTTGGAAGATTTGGATATTTAATATTTAAAAATAGAAATTTCACCATCTTGCACTTAAAGCGGATGGTGGGGGAATGGATGATGGACCCGATCAAGATCCCATGGTCCCGTCATCCCGGGCCATCGTGGTCCCTGGTCTACTTAGTTAGAGGAGGTAGTCGACCCAACCTGACAGAAGGATCCTTGTCGGCAGCCATGAGTTGCTTCGTTCAAGGGGACCTTGTAGACCGGGGGTGAATGTTTGTCTAAGGGGACAAATTTAAATCTACCTTATCTAACAAAGGGCTTTGTACCCTATCGATCATATCCTATTGATTCATATCTCAAGGATTTAACACCATTAAGGAGCGTATTGGCTCTGGCCATAACCGCTATCTGTGGTGCCATTTGGCGGCAAAATCACTCGGTTCAGAGGGCCCCGGGTCATAACCGTTTACCTGCAGTGCCATTTGGCAGCGAAACTGCCAATTAGTGGACACGTACCACGTCCTTACTGGCAAGAGATTGTGTGAGAATGGATCATAGTGATATTTTCGACTAGGCATTTGGCTCTTTGTGAGCTAGAGTTTATTTGAATTTGTCCACCTCGACAGACTGTTGCTGAGGATGGATGGATTTTGCTTTGAGTGATTAATGGTCATATTTCATTTTTTAAATATTCTTGGAATTTTGGGATTTTTGTGGAGTTTTTGGGTTTCGTGGAGTTTTGGGTATTTGGGTGGAATTATGAAAATATTTGGAATGGACTTTGGATATTTGGGAGACATTTGAAAATATTTTGGAACCCCTCCGGTTGAGATCTGCATTCAACACGGCCATCATCGGGGTGTTCGGGGTCATTTCTCTTTTGTTGAATGAATCTTGTTGACTCTATCGAACTATCGATAGAGGATCGGATTTCGTAGGCTTTATGCCCTTGATAGTGAATTCACATTGTTATTGGCCTTGAAGGCCTAATATGAATATATTAAGACAAATATAATGGTCGCCACAACCGTATACTTGTTTGATTGTTCGAACCCTGTCGACTTCTATTGACTCGTATAGAAGGATTAGGTTCGAATTTGAATTCACTTATCGACCCGCGCAATATCCCTAGACGTCACGGTGTACCAATAACACGTTCGCCGGGGCCCATGCAGGTTTGGGGGCATTTTATAATTAAACCCTGTCCACTCCTTTTATTTTCTTAGGAGAATCGGGTTCAAAATTTGATAACTCGCGCTGCATCCCTAGACGTCACGTGTATTTCTATAACACGCTCACTGGGGCCCATGCGGGTTTAGGGGCATTTTATAATTAAACCCTGTCGACTCCTTTTTACCTGCTAAGGAGGATCGGACTTAAAATTTGATAACCCGCGCAGCATCCCTAGACGTCACGTGTGTACCAATAACATGCTCGCCGGGGTCCATGCGGGTTTGGGGACATTTTATAATTAAACCCTGTCGACTCCTTTTATCTATTTAGAAGGATCGGGTTTAAATTTAATAACCCGCGCAGCATCTCTAGACGTTACGTGTGTACCAATAACACGCTCGCTGGGGCCCTTGCGGGTGTTGATAGTATTTACCCCTTTAGTGTACCTATGTGCATACAAGTTAAGGTGCATGTGCGGGGATATTCTTGGAATAGACGCCTTATGTCTACTTGTACGAATGTTGCAGATCCGGTGGCGTGGCATAGCAGCTTCTGAATAGAGTTGTTCGCTGCTTCATACAAGTAGATTGTCGTGCACTACTCGTTGCTTTTCGTAGGTGGATCATAGTACACTAACTAATCTCCTGCTTTTGTTTGTAGACAATTTCCTTTACATGATGTTTTTGTTCGTGGTCTTTGCTTTGCATACGAGTCTTCTAAATCTGACTACAACATTTGAATTTGCTATAATTATTTTTGCATTTTTGTTTGTGGTTGACATACTAGTGTACAACAAACCTTCTATGATGTCTCGTAGAGGTTGTATTTGTTGTAGTCATTAATCTTTGCTTGTAACAAATCAACATATTTGCTCAACATTGAATAATAATTGATTGTAGAGGTGTTGTAACATTCATCACCTTCTACCACGATGACTTGTTGGGGTGTGGGTATCTTGTATGTGTAGCAGATATATTGCATGTCAACTTGCATTGACCGTGGAAGGGTCATATTCTAGCTTGCACTTGCTTATGCATCCATCATAATCTCCTTGAATGCATTCATTGCATCCTCCTTGAATGAATTCTTAGAATGCTTGTCAACCTTATTGTTTACAAACAAGTTGGCATATTTATCTGAGGTCAAATGATGTTAGCCACTTGCAAACTGTATTTGTTTAAGACTTGTTCAACAAATCTTGATCATTAATCTGTCATGTTTACTACGTATTGGACTCATTTGTTGATGCACTTTCTTGAAGTTGAATCATTATTGATGGTGGAGATGTCATCGTATGTCATACATATATATTGGTAGGAGAATGATGTACTCATGTATAATCAAACGACTTTGATTACTTAGCGATAACATTCATCTCAAACTATTCGAGTACACCTTTGATGTAGGTATGTTAATGTTGGATGCTCAATCTTGCTACATTGACCTTAAGCATAAATACATGTATGCATAAGGAGTCTTCCTTCATTGCATTCTTTATAATTTTCTAACCTTGCTTGTTGATGAATTGTTGTTGATAATGGAGACTTCACTATATTCATATGTAAATTTTTTTATGAATATCCCCATTGTAACTATCTTTGCTCATCAAATTCATATCAATTGCTCTTATGAGTGAGATATAGGGATTCTATTCGCCATAGGTCACTGCTCATAATTACTTGTTGATGCTTGTAGGAAAGTTGAACTTTTAATTCTTTGTTCAAGTCTCAAACAATGCCACACAATTCAAGTTTAAATTTTTACATTCAATCGAAGTATCACATTCCTAAGACCAATCTTAAGTCCAAGTTCTATTCATTGATGTTTGTTTGGATCCAACTTGAATTCTCAATTTGATTCAAGTTGTTCAAATACAATTTCTTTGTAGCCCAACTTAAGTATTTTCTTGAGTTCAAATTCAAATCTTTTGTGGTTCAGTTCAAGTTCAAAGATAGTCCTCCATAAGTTCAAATAAAGTTCAGGCTACATCTTCAATTCGAGTCCCCTGCTGTTTTGTAGAGTTCAAGCCCGAGTTCAGATCGGGTTCACTTGAGTTCAAATTTATTTTTGTTCAAGTCTTTTGTAGTTCATGTCACATTTGAGTCCTCTCTAATTTTTTTTTTTTTTTAAATTTGCAAGCTCATTTATTGAGTTAAAGTCCTTTGCATCATTCAAATTAGTGTCCAAATAAGATTCAACATTGTTCGAAGTCCTTGGATTTTTAATCCAAATTTCAGCAGCCTCTCGACGTCTCCCCCGTTTAGGGGAAAAACCAAGAGGCAACCTTCCCCTCGATGCTACGTGAGCGCTTGAAGTAGGTGTCAAAAATGAAACCGCCGTCGCGAATGAAATTTTTTTTATTCCCGCCTGCTACGTGAGCATTTAAGGGTTTTTTGTTTGTTTATTATAAGAAGGAAACAAAATGTTAGAAAGAACACATATTTCCCCCCTCTGCACCACGTGGGCGTTCGGGGGTACTTATATAAAAATAAAGTAAAATAAAAACACTTTTTTTATCCCCTTCGCCGCAAGCGCCGCACCGGTTTCCCGCCCTACAACGCTACTTGAGCGCCTCGGGGGTTTGCCGGCTCGTTGCTAGCATTGAAGAGGGATCCTTATCTCGTCACAAGCATCGCACCGGTTTCCCGCCCTCAACGCTACGTGAGCGCCTTGGGGGTTTGCTGGTTCGTTGCAAGCGTCGAGAGAGAGAGAGAGAGAGAGAGAGAGAGAGAGAGAGAGAGAGAGGCAAACCATTGGGATACGCGCAGGATTTATGAGTTCTTGAAACACACGTAGGGATTCTAAATTTGCAGTTGAACTTTAGAACACATCGGGACTACAAAATATAGGGAGACATTTATCATTAATTTCATTAAATTATTCAAATTTAATAATTTCGAGCTGGCTTGCGAGCTAACGAGCCAAGCCTCAGCTAGCTCGA